ACTCTCCGGAGCCCTTGCTGGGTTTGCAGATTTTGGGCTGCAAGAGGTATTTGGTGTTTGCTCTGTTAGCAGAGTGAATGGTGGGATTCTCTGGGCCAAACTTGAAAGGAGTTTTTCAGTGAAGTTGTCTTGGATGAGGAGTTGCAGGTGTCTAGTTGGTGACCTCAGGCTTCATTTTTGTTCAGGATGGTGGCATAAGAAATGTGGCAGGTTTGAAATGTCTCATTCTCTTTAATATGCTCTGCTGAAGGAGTCTGGGAAGAGAATTGTGTGAGCTGGTTTCACCCAGGGATCATGGCTGTTTCCCTTGTCAAACACAGAGCACAGGCAGTGAGGAGCCTGGTGAGAGCCCAGCGTGGGGAGGCAGCTGGAGTTGGGGTATAGGAGGTCAGAGGGACCCTGGAGTCTCTTCTTGAGTGTTAGTGACTTGGTGTATGACCCTCTTCAGTCAGTTGTCCTCTCCTCCTCACCTCTGAAGGCTTTTCTTTAACTGCTTTTTTATAAGGATGAAGTGTGAGATAATCACTTGTGAATTTTTTTTCAACCTTTGCTTGGACTTAATCCAAAACCAAGTGATGACTGTTTAACCAGGTTAGGAAAACTTTTCTGTCCAAGAGTCCCTTCTTCTTTAAAGTTCTAGCTTTATTGAAAAACATGAAGGCTAATGCCCTTGTACTGTGCTGAATGCCATCAATCCTGCATTTCATTATTTGATGCACCAGTGCTCAGCCAAGTAATGCCAGAGTAGTTGCTATGTTCAGTGGTACAGTTCTCTACCTCAAATATAAGTAACTTGGTACCCAGCAGAATGTTTCGGTGAAATGAGCTGTGAGCTGATGGTGTTCAAAATGTGTTCTGAAATTCTGAGTAATTTCTTTTATCAGATTGCCTTTTAGAAGGAAATGGAAGTTTCTCTGCCTGTGAGAAAGGTACTGAACAGCTTGTACAGTGAAGGTCCCAGTCACTGCCCCGATGGCAGGGGATGGAACAGCCTCCTACATCTGGAAGCTGCCAGGTCTGCATGCAAATATGAGGATGTAGTTTCTTATCTCTGGAGATTTTAACATTTGCTTGCAAAACGCTGGGTATGGCTCTGAGGTGGGATCCATACCCTGTCGCTATTCCAGCTGATGGAGTGGCATCCCACGATGTTCCCTCACTTAACTTAAGAGAGTCTCTGCACACTCTGCTGGTGTTAAAGGTGGCAATTAACATTTTGGGTGAACAGTGAATGAGGCCATTTATAACCAGTTACGCTGACATGAATCTCTCCCAACAAATTTGCATCATTAAAGAACCTTTGGAAAAATGTGTCATGCGTATAATTAAATACCTGTTTTGCTAACTCTTAATTTAATTAATCCAAAGTAAAGATGGCAGCACAAATTAATTTAGCTGGAAATGGCATTTCTCTCAGTGGGCTGAAGAGAGATTTTCTGGTGGCATTGTACAAGATGACCTCAGAAACAGACAGGTGAACTCTGGGACTGGTTGACACAGGGTTTTTTTTGACAATGATGGCTGTGACATTCTCCTAGCAGTATGTATGTCATCTATCAGCTCACTTTTTTCTGCTTGTGAGAGCAAAGAGGGAGGCCAGCTAGAAGGCTGTTTCTTTGAGAGGATAGCACAGGTGCTTTTCAGCTCTACCCTGAGAGGTATTTGGTAGCAACCATAGTAAATCCAGGTTCAGACAGGTGAATGAAAAGAAATTCAAATAACAGAAGATCTTTCTATGTCTCCCCTTGCTTTTTCTATCTGTACCTTGATCTCTTTCACTTGGTGCCTACATTTTTCCCCCTTAGATACAAGCAGTTACAGGAAAGTCATCCGCTTTAAATATTTGTTACTCTTAACTTTCTTTAAAGAGTTCCTTGTAGATGATCTTTTGGTTTGACCTCTTTCCTAACCTTGTGATTCTTTTCCCCCTACCCCCTGTGCCTTTTCTGATCCTTTTCTCCCAGCCATTTAATCTCCTTCTCTCTCCCTATCCATCTTGCCTGGGATAAAACTGGAGCACAGACTGTGTGCAATGTGCAAGTGGAGGTGAGTTGAAGCCCAACATTGTAGGAAGCAGCGAATCTGTTGTTTCTTCCTGTGGACCCATCTGAGCACCAGAAGGGAAAAAAAAAGAAAAAAAATCTTTCAAACACTGATTATTGCTTTAGCAATTCTCATTTCAGCTAAAGTAAAAATTAATGCATGTATGGATGAAGGAGGCTCTGTGCCCTGAAGCATGGAATCCTGCTAGTCCTGCCACCTCTCTGCACTTTCAGGACTGGCTTTTTCTATGTGATGTTTCCTTCAAGGGGGAAAACCAGCCTCATTTATCAGGCAGGACTCCAGTCATTGGTACTGAGGCTGATGAGAGGCTGGTGTGGATGGCAGTGGGATCTGGGTGATCACACAAATCTCACGTGGCAGGACGGGCTGGGACGGGCTGGGAGCTGCTGGTGCTCCAGGGTGGGAGGTTGGGAGGGCTCTGGGAGGATGCAAGGTCCTGAAGGAGGGACTGGGGAGAATTTGTGACTTGACACTGCTCAGTGCTGGTCTCCCCTGAGGCCTCATGGGGTGACTTTTCTCCATATCCCATCAGATGAGATGAATGTGAACTTGGAGCTGATTTTGTCTGTCTTTGGTCGCCTGAACACTCCTGGCTTTCTATCCTGCGCCAACCTTTAGCATCATCCAGCGTTTGCAATTGGAGCCAGTGCTTTTAACAGGGCCTTTTGTGTTCATTTACTGAAAACCAGGGTCTGTTTCACAGGAATCTTGTTTACACCTGCCACAGCCGTCCTTTTTGCTCTTCCTCTGCTCCTTTCACTGGAGCTGCAGTGGTTGAAACTGCAGAATGTGCTTTTATCCCCCTCCATCCTCGGACGTGATGCGTGACGGCAATAGAGCAGCAGGGGAGAGGATGCAGGGTGTGAGACCCACTGAGAAGTGTGAGCCAGATGTGGGCAGCTCAAGGGCATGATACTACTGGGCTTTGGAGGGACTCAGGTGCAATGGGTTATCACCTCTACTTCTGTTTTAGCTGTTCATTTTAGGGTTTACAAAACAGCCCTTGGAGGTCTCCCTGCATGCACAGTTGCACTGAAGTGACTGACTATGGGGAAGTCCCCTCTCCATCACTATTACCAGGGCTCAGTAGTAGCTCTTGCTCAGGGTTTGCCAGGTGAATGGTGTCTCCTTGCTGGGCATTTTGGGCACTAAAACTGTGAGTGGCTTTTTGGGGGTGCCCCAGGCGCTGCGGGAGGCGGTGGGTCCGTGCTGCAGAGGAGGAATGCGGGGAAGCCAGGGCGAGGGGAGGTGCCAGGGCTGGAGGATTTGCACAGCTGCTGTTGCAAGCATCGTGCTCAGCCTGCTCTCTGGTGGTAGCTGCTGTAGCAGAGATGACCTTTGATAAAACGGGAAACATTTGGAGTGATTTGGATAGTTGTGGTTGCTCAGTTTCACACAGTGACAGTTTGTAGCAGAGTCAACTCAGCTGCTCCTGCTTTTGTTTGCATACGCCAGTAAGAAATTCACAGGTTAAGAATCAAATCACAGCGGCTTCAATGTGAAAACTGCCAACAAAGTCTGCTCCTCAGCAGCTCTTCCCAGAACTTCCAGGTTCTCCAGTGTCTGATACTGCTCTTTCCTTTCACACTGGGGAGACTGTTAGGAGAGCAGACAGAAGAGGCACCTGCTGGCACGAAATGTGGAGCAAACAATAAATATCTTTGAGATCTACAGTCAAATTTGGCTGATAACAGCCAGCAGGTTCCAAAACTCTTGCCAGGATTGTGACAGAGAGAGGCACTTGATGGAGATCTCTTCCTGGCTCCCAGGGCAGTGGGAGGGCTCTGGCCAGGAGGAGCATCCCTGCTGTGCCCTGGGCTGAGAAACACAGGGGGGTTCTTCACTGACATCAGCAATGTGAGACATTTGTTTGGAGGTTACAGGAACCCTGTCCTGTCTGCTGTCATCACTCTAGTCAGAGATCAGCCCCATTCATGTTTCCTAGATAAACTGTCACCCTGTGGATATGTCTTCCAGCAGTATTTGGTTACTGTATTTCGTATCAGGGATGTGACAGTCATGCATGTGGATTCTTGGTGCTGGAGACACCTTGAGGACTGAAGTGCCTGTAGGACACAGTGTGTAGGTGTGACCATGTGCTGTTGAGGACAGAGGTAGTTCCTGACACTTCTCTTTTGTACAAGACCTAGTCAGGCAGCTTTGAAACTTCAGAGCAAGCTGGCACCCTCTGTTTTAATCCAGTTTCCATCCCTTTGGCAGCAGAAGTAGGACATAGTTTTAGCATTTTCTACAAGTCTGTATTTCTTGTGGCTAGTAAAGTATTCATTTTGTCCCAAAACACAACATATGCTGGGATTCAAAGACGTAGCCTTTATGACTTCGATGTTTAAAAGCAATTTAACCAGATTTGGGGTTCTTTTTTCCCATGTGAATTGCTGTGGTCTAGTCTAGTCAAGACAACTTTTAGTATCCGCAACCTTGTGGAGGTATTGTGTTTCCACAATTAGAGGTTAGGAGTTGACAGCAAATGAGCCAGGGATTATAATTAAAAAACAGGATAATTATTTGTGCATGGAAAAACTAAGGAATAAAAACTCATGGTGTAATGTACCTAGGAGTACTAGATGCAAATAAGAGATAATGTATCTTGCACGGGGGATGTTTGGATTGTGTATATTTCAGCAAGCATGGGAGCAATTCCTCCTGCTCCATAGAAGCTGAGGGTTTTGTTCAGTTGGTGCTGATGCTCTTTTAGAAAGCTTTTACCTCTGATTCCTGAGGTCTGACACGGAAGAGAAAAGCTTCAATAGGCACCAGCTGCACAGTGGGCCCTGTCTTTTCAGAGCATCGCTCGCTTTTCTCCGTTCCCAATTAAAATGTGTGTTAAACTTAGCTTTTGTTTGAAGCAGCCCAGCGCTGTGGTATTTAATGTAAAGAGAATGTGCTCGTCACCTTTTCTCTCTCTTTTGTGGCAGGGTCAGCATTCCTCAGGGGAGGACATGGAAATCTCTGACGACGAGACCAACCCTGCGCCCATCACCAGCGCGGAATGTGCCAAAACCATTGTGGTCAACTCCTCCGTCAGCAACACGGCCGTGATGGCCCCGTCCATCCCCCCGCTGCCACCGCCGGGATTCCCTCCTCTTCCTCCTCCTCCTCCTCCACAGCCTGGCTTCCCGATGCCCCCTCCGCTGCCTCCGCCACCTCCGCCCACCCACCCGGCCGTCACCGTGCCCCCGCCGCCGCTGCCCGCCCCGCCCGGGGTGCCTCCGCCTCACATCCTGCCCCCGCTGCCCCCGTTCCACCCCGGCATGTTCCCGGTCATGCAGGTGGATATGATCAGCGTCCTGGGCAACCAGTGGGGTGGCATGCCCATGTCCTTCCAGATGCAAACTCAGATGCTGAGCCGCATGATGCAGGCACAGAACACGTACCAGTACCCGCCTTTCATGACGGGCCGGATGCAGTTCGTGAATCTTCCTCCCTACCGCCCGTTCTCGATGGGAGCCGCTCTCGCCCGCGGGCAGCAGTGGCCACCTCTGCCCAAGTTTGACCCCTCGGTTCCACCCCCGGGTTATGAGCCGAAGAAGGAAGATCCCCACAAAGCCACTGTGGATGGAGTTCTCCTGGTCATAGTGAAGGAACTGAAGGCCATCATGAAAAGGGACCTGAATCGCAAGATGGTCGAGGTGGTGGCGTTCCGGGCGTTTGATGACTGGTGGGACAAGAAGGAACGTCTGGCAAAAGTGGGTTTTCACATGCTGTGTCCTGGGTCCTGGGGAGAGCTGTTCTTAGTGCTTGTGGCCAGTGTGTGGGGTCAGCGGGGTCTGGAGCTGACTTTAAAAAAACCAAACCCCTAAATTTTCATGTACAAGAGGAAGCTGAAGTTTAGCTCTGAAAAACTAAGGTCAGATGCAAGAGGAGTGTTTGAAACCACCAAGCCTCTGTCTTGTGTTCCCCACTTTGTGCAATGAGATTTGTGGGTATTTCCAGTTTTGCCCCCTCCCCAGTGCATGTACAAAGCAGCAGTTAACTCAAAAGCTGAACATTGGCCAAATACTCCAAGAGTTCCAGGGATTAGTTGAGAAAACTTGCATGAATCCTCTGATCCTTTTCTCACCCAATTTGAAGTGTACCTCAGCCAGCAAACAACTCTGTGATCTAATGTGTGGTGAATTTGTCACTACCCAAAAAGCCTAACGCTACAGAAAGGTTAATGCAAGCCTCAAAATTACCATTGCAGTGAATTACTGTAAAAATAACAAAACAAACCACAACCTGCAGGTAGGTCTGTTTCAGAGGTCAGTTTTCAGAGCAGTATCCTCACCACCTGTTTCTGTAAACCAGTTGTGTGTTAACTCTGGTGCCTGGGAGAGCTCCTTGGCTTTCTGGAGGGGTTGGTAATGTTGCTGCTTAACAGCTGTTTTGTGACAGTGTAATTTACTGTGGCTTAGAGCTGGCTGGCTTGATGTGCAGCAGAAACCCTGTCCCTCTCCTCCTGACTAATGCTCAGAGCTTTTCTTCTGCCAGCAAGCGTGTGCTGACAGTCTTGGAGGAGGCCTCTGAGTTTCCAGGGCAATGAAGGAAACAGATCCAGCAAATAGTTGCAAAAGCAGCAAATGAAACACTCAGGAAATTGTTTTAAACCAGACATCTGTGGTGAAGAAGCAGAAGCAAGTTGAGGCAGATCTTCAGGCTCTCTTACATCCCAAGTTATGGCTGGATTTGGGGTGTTCTTCCCTCACCTGGGGTTTATAAGCCATTTTGGGAAGGGAAGCTGACTGTACCACAGCAGCTCACCACAGTCTTTGCCACAGGTTATGTTGGATGTGAGCAATGTAATTGAAAATATGAAATTGCTGCATGGAAAACCACGTGTGTGTTTCTGTCCAGGAAAAGAGATGCCAGAACCATTTCTGCTCCAGGGCATGTGTTACTGCTGTGTGCAGAAAAACCTCATAGATTTCAGAGCTTTCTGCTAGGACTGGGCACCCCTGGCATTGGGGTGGGACAGGACTCCTCAGGCACAAGTTGCCTGTTTTTGCAGAGAACAAAATATGAATATTCAGCTTAAACTGAATATTTAACTGTACCTTCCCATTGCTGGTGTCTGTGTGTGTGAGGAGGGGGTTACTGGGCTCCTTGGTGGCAGGTCAGTTCCCCGTGTGCTCTGCCATCACACTGATTCTGGCTGCTATATTCCATCAAAGGCAGCTGATTGATTGATTGATTGATTCCAACTCTGGCAGCTGAGAGGCATCCAAGAGGCATCATGCCCTAGGTAAAGGGTGGGAAGGCTCAAGGATAAATCTGGTGTCCTGGGTCAGGCAGGGTGGAAAATGTGTGGGGTGAAAGCTGTGAGAGGAGCACGTTGCTGGGGAAGGCAGCACATTCCATGGACCTTTTCTGCCTGAGCTAGGGGAAAGCCTTTCTTTGTTCCCAGATCTAGTGGTGGGTTTAGTTTTGACAGCCTGAGTAAGGTGCATGTAGCAGAGTGCCAGGAGTAACCAGGCATCCTGACCACAGAGTGCTGCTGCTTGGGTTCTCTGCTTGATATTCCCATTAGTCTTGCCCCTAATTAGCAGGAGATTGCCTCTTTGGTGATTACAGCCCACTTCAGCGTGTGACCTCTGTTAGGGTGTGCAGGAGAAACTGTTTGGGGTGTTGTGCCCTGGGCTGATGCAGGTGAGTGTCACCTCCAGTGCCTCTGGCTTGGGCAGAGTGTGACATGCCATGTGTGACATTCTCCTGGCTTGTCCACCTCTCCCCAGCTGCAGAGGTCTGAATTCCTGCTCTTCCTTCACACTTCAGCTCTGGTGAAAAAGGATTTGTTGAGGCTGTATGTCTATTTTTTAGACCCTTTGGTGTTTCACCTAAATATTTTCATGTCCCTGTTCCCAGGACTGGAGCCTTCTGACAGGTTTTGTGGACTGGGGCTCTGGTTGCTAAGGAAACACAGGGATGTGTGTGGTTTTTGATGCACTATATTTGGCCTTACACTCAACAGAAGGAAGGTGTTCCCAACTGGAAGGTCTGCAGTTGCTTTCAGTTATGTGGGTTAGAAGGAAGGTAGATAACACATTGTTGGGCTGACTTGCCTAAAGCACACTCAAGTTATTTGTGTTATTCTGTGCAGCTCTAGTTCCTTTCAGGTGTGGGACACCTTCAGATGCCCTCAAAGAATCTGAAGCCTGGGCAGGGCAGTGATATTTCCCAAACCTCGACTGCTTAAATGCTTTCCAGACTTTGTGTCCTTCCCAGGAAACTTCCCCTCTCAAATGTGCCTTCTCTGTTGCAGGCGTCTCTCACTCCAGTGAAGTCTGGAGGAGAACTGGAGGAAAAACCAAAGCCAAAGGATCGAATGGCCTCTTGTCTCCTGGAGAACTGGAACAAAGGAGAAGGGCTGGGATACGAGGCCATCGGCTTGGGCATTGGGTTACGAGGGGCCATCCGGCTGCCATCCTTCAAGGTGAAAACAAAAACTCTCTTCCTTGTGCTGACATCCCCCAGAGGAGCCTTAGGAGGACAGACCCTGCTAGGTTTGTGCCCCAGAGCCCTCAGGCTGTTCACCCCACTCTGTGTTCACTCAGGGGGTTGCTTCTGACCCCCCAGAACCAGAGCAAGGACCCTCTGTTCACTTAGCTTTTCATTCTCCACTTGTGTGAGTTGTCTGTAGAGGATCTCCCTGCTCTGCAGGGGGAAGGGGACATTTGCCTGTCTTTAGGACACAGCATTTCAGCATGATCATGAAATTACATGTATGCTCATGGTGCTTTACACAGCTACTGTTCTGGTTGGAATCTCTGATGGTTTGGCAGCTGAGTCTCACCTGAAATTTGCTTAAACTCTGTCTCCTCAGAAGCACAGGCTATCCATTTTGAAAAGCATTTGCATAAAAAATTAAAAGTATCTTAAAAGAAGTTGGGGTAGGGGAGTGTAGAGGGCTTCCCTGAAATTAGGATTTTTGAATGCACAGAAGGTGCAAGCAAAGGTTTGGGATGAGAGATTCTCCAGTCTTTATTTAGAGTAAAACTTGCTTTGAGGTTCTTTAAGATGCCATGGGCTTAGGCTCTCTTTCTGTTCTACTACAATCTCAGCCACATGGATTTGTCAAAAGAGTTTTCTCTGTCATCCTCAAAGTACCTGGTGATGACATGCACCATGCTGGTACCCAGGGTGTTTTCATGCAAATTGAAGGGGTTAGAGTTTAATTCAGAGTGAAATTCTGTTTGCAAGCAAATAAAGAGATCAAGAGCTGGGAAGTGGCCCTTGGTTTCTGCTGTGACCACAGCAAAGTAAAGAAGTGGCAATTTGCTGAAGAAGTTGATTTCTGCTGTTTCTAAACTTTCAGAAATGCTAATTGTGTCTTTTGTTCAGGTGAAAAGAAAGGAGCCACCTGAAGCTGCCTCAGCGGGAGATCAGAAGAGAATCCGGCCTTCTACTTCTGTGGATGATGAAGATGAAGGTTTGCAAAGTGCATTTGTTTGAAACCTAGGAGCAGATGCAAACCCCACCAAGCTGAATCCTTTAAACTTCACAGCAGTGTGCTCGCTTACAGTTAAACACAGAGTCAAGGATCTGAGCCAAACCTTGCTTCTCACAGAGCTCTGATCAGCTGAGACATGGCCCCTCTGGGTTCAATTATCTGAAATTCACTGGTGGGAAGTTTAAGACCCACATTTTAAGAATAACTCATAACCTATTTTAGCTGTGCTGGGCCCCAACAGAAGGAGCTCAGGTGGGTTCATGGGCTCTTGGGGTGTGCTCACAGCTTGCTGGGGTGTGGTAAGAGGAAGCATGTAACAGTTTGCTCTGCATTTGATTTGAGAAAGAAACCAAAGTTATTTGCCAGAAAAATCTGTTTGAAAATATCTTAACATTATTTCCTATTACCAGGGAAGAGTAAAGAGGAGACAAAGCTTTGGATACCCTTTGTTTTGCACATGGGTTCATGTAGAAGTCGATTCAGATTAACAAGTGGTTTTGAAGCAAAAAATGAAACAAAAAGACATTAAATTCAGGTTACCTGTCCTGACCTCACTCGTGCCGTGTCTCCTGTCTGCTCTGCCTAGGGAGTGTCAGCTTTGGCCACCCACATTTTGCCATCAGCACTGTTCACTGTGACATCAGCAAGTCTCTGTAAGCCTGGGGACCCTCACACCACATGGGCACATTGCTCCTAACTTCCATCTTCCCAAAGAAGTTGTTTCCCTTATGTAGTTAACTCTTTCTGTCCTTTCCAAGGTACTTGATGGTAATTTTCTGTTGCTTTTGCTCCTCAGAGTCGGAGAGGGACAGGGATGCTTCTGATACGACATCTGACCTGTCAAAGAAGGATGCAGAGGCAGTGGGGCTGCGACGGCGACCAGCAAGGCCATTGGAGCTCGACAGTGAGGGAGAGGAGGGAGATGAGACATCAGGGAAAGAAGAAGAGTCATCTTCAGAGAAGGAAGAGGAGCAGGAAGAAGAGGGAGGCTTGGTGAAAGCAGCACCTGGCAAGGTATGTTGGTGTGTGGCTGCAGTTTCAGTGCTGTCTGTCGTTAAAAGGGGGCCTGGAAATGCCAAGTGCCAAGGTTCCCTTTTCTAGGAGATGAGTGCTCCTGGTGGGGTCCATCCTTACAGAGCCTCTGTCAGGTCACTCCCTCTTCAGGTTCTCTGACAGCCTCCCTGAGAGTCCCTGGTGGTTACAGCACTGACAGCCAGGTCACAGGCTCAGGCACTGTTCATTTTTGGCAATGCTTTCTTGCAAAGGAGGAAGAGGAGGATGAGGAGGATGAAGATGATGAGGATGAAGATGACGATGAAGATGAGGATGAAGATGATGAGGAGGAGACAGGCATAGACACAAGTGACAAGGAGGAGGAGCAGGACTCCGAGGAGGGTAAGAGCTGCAGTGGAAGCAGCAAGTGTCACCTTTGGGTCAGCTGTGGTCTCCCTTCTGCCTTTGTGACCTCCTTTCACTGGGCAGTTTTACACAATATAATGCAGAGATCTTTTTAATTAATACCTGTGAGATTTCCATGATCCCTCAGTCAATGGGTCCCTTTAGAGCCCTCTAGTGATCTCAGCCCAACCCAGCCACAGGGGCACTGGTCCCAAGCCCAGCTAAATGTGTGCTTGTTTTGTGAACCAGGAGTAGCTGGGGGGAGAAGGGACCAGATTTCTGAAAAGGGTAAATTGGCTGCTAATAACTCTGTCCTATCACTCAGTTCTTGCTCTGGAAGGTGGTAGTTTTCACTTTTTAAGGCTGTGTGTAAAGGCAGAAGAAAATCTTAGTAAAAGATACACTACACTGAGAGACCCAGGGGGGAAGGTGCCAGGCAGCACTACTGCTCACATGTTGTATGGTGATTGTTGTAAGCAGCCAGGGACAGGATTTATAAATCTCTGCAAAAATAAGTGAATTGGGAGGCCAATTCCTTCAAACCCACCTGTGCTGGTGATGCTGTTTCCACACTTTTACAGTGGAAGGGATATTTGCCCCTGACTGATTATTAAAGGCAGAAAGCAGAACTAAAGACAGTTTGTTCTTGCAGATGTAGCAAGTCCCTCATCTTCCAAGGCTGAAGCTGAATCATCTGATGAGAGTGAGGACTCCTCTGAATTCGAGTCAAGTTCAGACTCGGATGATGAAGATGAGGAGGATGATGATGATGATGAAGATGAGGAGGAAGAAGAGGAGGAAGAGGTGGCTGAAGATCAAGGCAGAGAAGCCATGGCTGCTGAGCCAGAGCATGAACCTGCTGGTCATGAGCTTCCTGATGATGAGAGGGAGACTATTTTGGACCTGTATCCTGTGGATGACTACATGGATGCAACAGGCTTGGGACTTGCTGAGCCAGCTTTGGCAGTGAAAGATGAAGGCAGTGGAGAAATCAAGGCAGGGGAAAGTGAGTGTGGCCAAGTTCTGGGGGCTTCTGTTGCTGCTGAAACTCTGAAACATTTGGTTATGGAAAGAGACCAGGAGACAAAGCTTGCACTCTCTCCCATCTGCAGGCCAGGTATGCCCTTCCATGTGCTTTGGAGTTTTGTTATTATGTTTCCAATTAAATTTTCTCCCAGTATCCGATATTGTATGGGTTTGTATTTCCCTTGTTCTCTTTCTTCTTCCAGTCTTGGCTCTAGGTCTGGGATTATCTGTACAGGGAAAGAGGTCTGTGCTGAACTTTCCTTCCTAGTAAGGAGCTTTACATGAGCCATCTGCTACTAAAAATACTGTGGTTACTGTATCCAGAATCTTATCCTGGGCCAGTTTAGTTGGAGTCCTAGAGGAACTGAACAGTTGTCATCGTCTGAGGGTGACTGATCGGGTGGTGTGGTGGCTGAAGCTCAAGATAGAAAAGCCATGGCTGCTAAAACAGAACAGGAATGTCATACTGGCTCTTTTTGGTTTTAATATCAAAGCAGTATGTGGGAAGCTGCATGGGGCAGGTCTCTGAGTGGAGTCTCAGAGTTATGTATGGTTCCTAATATTATTTGTGGGGAGTTTTGTCACCTACTCCTTTTAAATGAGTGATACTCACTAGTTTTCTGGAAGAAGGGAATTGTCTTCAATCAATACAGAGTTGTACTTAACCCAAGGAAATTGGAAACCTTTTACTAGAACAGGAGTGAGATGCATAAAGCTTGAGTAATTTGGCAACTGGGGGAAATCTGAAAGTTAAAATTGGAGCCAACAGGAAGGGCACATCTAGTGGGGCCTGCTGTGGAGCCTTGGGCAGCATTGGTGTCTGAGGACTGGGCAGTGTTTTGCCACTTGGAGAGCTGGAAATCCAGTCCCTGCACAGGGTGTCACTCCTTGACTGCTGTAAAATCTGAAAATCACAAAGAGGTAAAATGTGGAACTGGGCAGGGCAAAGAAGAACTGGTTTTGCACTAATCCTTTCTAGAACAGCCCAGTGTGCTGCAAGAACATAAATTTGGAGGCACCTGCATTTGAGCAACTTGACATGTGTAAGGAGCTTTCCAGGTAAGCTGTGGGAACAAACTCAAACTGTAGCATTGTTCTTGAGCAACCCAGCTCATACAGGAGTTGCAGGGCTCAGACCCTTCTCCAGCAGCCCTGGTTTGTTCAGCACAAGCGGGGAATGCCTCCCTTCCAACTCTCCAGGCATTTTCACCTCCTTTCGTTCTCCCGCTTGAAAATGTTATTTTGAGCTGTCTAACAAGATTCACCGTTGATTCCTTTTGGACCTGGCCCTAAGTGGGTAAATAAACTCCAGACAAATGAGGCTGCTGCAGGGAGAGCAGCATATAAATTGCCTCATTGATACCATCTGAGTGTGTCCTCATTCATTACAAGGGCTTCCCATTTGCTTCATGTGTTGTTCAGGAGTGTTCTGCTATTCCCTTCCCCATTCCCTCCTTGGAGAGCTGAGGGTGCTCCTTGGCCTGCAATTAGTTTAGTTCCCACATTAGAAAAGGTGATAGCTCTGAGCTCTGACAGCTCTCCTCCAAAGTCCTCACCCCACAGTCCTCTCATTCCTTTAATGTCTGCACAAAAGGTTGTCAGGGCTTTTGAAAGCAGAGAAGCCTTCGTTCTGGTCTGTGTCGTAGTTAATCCTCAAATTAATAGTGTGGGTTTTTTATGGTCCATTAGGAAAGTGTGTGGTCGTGTCTAATTACTCTACACTCTGTGCCTCCAAAATGTAAAGCACTGGAGTTTTAAAGCCTCCCAGTGGAATTGAGCTGTTTGTTAATTGTGGCATCTTAAACATGTCTTTACTAGCAAGTGGCAAGTAACCAAGTGGAGCAAAGCTCCTGATTCCCCTCTCTGTTCCCCTTTCAGAGGAAGAGTCCGAACCCACTTCCATGCTGGAGCCAGAGGTACAGGAAGGTCCAAAGCCTGAATCTCAAGATGAGGAGGCGTCTCTCTGTATCTCTGCTCCAGGGGGAGTCTTTGGGGAACCTCTGCCCAGCAAAAGCAGCTTCTTTGGCAAGCCTGAGGACAGCAGCTTGGAAGCCAGAGTTAAAGCAAAGCCACCGTCGGCAGCAGAGGAGGACGAGCGGCTGCCGCGCACTCCCGGGCGGGAGGTGATGATCCACCCGGAGACTGAGACTCTCCTGCTGCCAGCCCACAAGGTGCCATCCTCCATGCTTCCCCTGCCGTCGACTCCTGGCAAGGAAGAATCTTTAGTCCCTCCAGAAAAGTTCCCTGAACAATTAATGGTGACCAAAACATCCGTGGAAGAGGAGATTCCTAGGACTCCCGGGCGGGACATTTTGGCCAAGTCTTCGCACCCCCTTGCGAAGTCGCAGAGCACGGACACTGTTCCAGCCACGCCAGGAAGTGACGCTCCCCTTACAGGAAGCAGCTTGACCCTCAGTTCCCCTCAAGTCCCAGGGAGCCCCTTTTCCTACCCATCCCAATCTCCTGGCATTAATAGTGGCATTCCTCGGACTCCTGGGAGAGATTTCAATTTCACGCCTACTTTCCCAGAGGCTGGTGCTACCATTCCTTGCCTTCTGCCTGGCAAGAAACAGTCAGAGGATGAGCTAGAAGAGAAAACCTTTAAAGAGCCTCTTGGTGCTTCCCTTACGATCAGCATGAACAGTGTTCCTTCCCCTATCCCCTTTGCCAGCCCCCCGCAAGCAGATTTCCACATGGACATGGGTTTGCCACCTGATGAGCCAATACCTGTAGCAGCCCTGCCGTGCATGCATGGAGATGGAAGAATGCCCATCGAGGAATGCAAGGCAGAAGTAAAACCTGGTTTGCTCTCCCCAGAAGTACCCCCTGGGGCTTCTGTTCTTCCTCCCCCACCACCACCTTCTGTTCTTCCCAAAAGGAGGCCGGGTCGGCCGAGGCGGTCCCCACCTTCTGTCCTCTCGCTGGATGTGTACTCGGGCAAAACCATAGAACCTCCTCCCATGCCAGTGGCCTTGGTGGAAGGTGCTGTGGGCAAAGAGCTGTTGAGTGGACATCCTGATGCCTACTATGGACTGAAAGACCCTGAAGCCGTCCCCCTGGACTTCAGGAATGACGGTTTCCACGAAAAAATAGCAGCTGAGACAGTTGCAGAGAAACTGCCATTCAAGGAACTGGAGAACCAGTGGAATGAGGACATCAAGGAAGAAGAAGCTCACGCCAAGCCCAAGCGGCAGTGGCGGAGGCAGAAGAAGACATCTGAGGAGCTGCCAGTGATCCCTTCCCCCGAGTATTCCCCGCCCCGGCCGCAGTTCAGGCCGCGCTCCGAGTTTGAGGAGATGACCATTCTGTATGACATCTGGAACGGGGGCATAGACGAGGAGGATATCAAATTCATGTGCATCACCTACGACCGCTTGTTACAGCAGGACAATGGTATGGACTGGCTCAATGACACCCTGTGGGTTTTCCATCCTTATATCCTTTCTCACTGTGTTGGCAGCACGTGTGAGATGCACGAGAAGTTGGTGGGAGAAGCAGTTGCTTACAGGAATAGAGATTGCTTGGATGAGCAGGCAGTTTTAGACTGTTTCATTCTCTGAAGCTGCAATACAAAAATACTGCAGAAGTGGCTGTTCCTGCTGCACGTTCAGTCTGGAAGTGCAGGGACAGTCTGTGGGCACCTCTTCTGGGGAGGTTTCCTTCCTAGTTTGAGAAGCTTCTGTCTGCATGTAACCAGAATTTTTTTCCAGCTTTCCTGTGGAATTTCTAGTCTGCACATACAGAGCTTTCATTTGGAGCTAAAACTTGCTGTAAAAATAATCTCACCATCTGTGCCCAAAACAATGAGTTAGTGCTTCTAGCAGCTTTAAGTTGCTTTGAGGTTGAAATAGTGATAAAATCAGTGCTTCCTAAGTGGCACATCAGGGCTCTGTTGTGCAGCCACCAGTAGTGTTCTCCAGAGCAGAGCCTAAAAACCTCAGAACTGTCCAGTACTTTTCTCAGGAAGGATGTGCAGGTTTATGTGTTGAAGAAGATAAACACACCACCTTGTGTGTTGCTAGAGATTGTGAAGTTCAGATATCTTCATCCCTTGCTTCCTCCAAGACGGGAAAGCAAAACCAAAAAAGCCCAAACACCTAAAGCAGTCGGTGATAACTAACAAAACCCATAGTGAAAATAAATCTCTTTCCCTCTTGATAAGGATTATATTGTAACAGCAAAATTATGTTCATTTTTTAAGCCGCTTCCAAATCACCTTGAGTTCATCGTGTGTCACACTGTGTGACAGTACCTGCAGGCTCACCTGCTTTGCAGCAGACCCTCAGCACTCTGATTTTGAGGCCATCACCTGTTGATCTTTATGGTCCCTCTGCTTCACTTTTCTGGTGTCAAGGATGCATTTTCCCTCACAGGAAGCATTTTTGGGTCACTCTCAATTGTTGTAGCCTTCGTGGTTGTGTTTGTGGGGTGAGCTGGCAGCAGTAGAGCTCCACTGTCCTTCCAGGAGCCAAAGCCCTGAAGGTGCCTTCTAACCTGAAGGTTTGTAATGTGTGTCTGAAGGAGCTGATTTCCCAAGGCCTTTGGGCTGAGCAGCATCTCAGTAATGATGTTCTCTTTTGCAACCCCACACAACCTTCCAAATTTTCCAGGCTCCTGGTGTTAGCTCCATGCAACTGTAGCAAGTTTAGTCTGATATCCACCTCTGGCTGTGTTTCTCCTTAACCTCTTGCCACCTACCAGCTTTTCTACCCCCAAGAAGAAGAAGCGTGATGACGGGATGCGGGAGCACGTGACGGGCTGTGCACGAAGCGAAGGCTATTACAAAATTGATAAGAAGGACAAACTCAAATACCTCAACAATAGCCGAGCTTTTGCAGAGGAGCCTCCAGCTGACACACAGGTGAGGAATCCAGAGTGCCAGCTGTGAATGGGATTTGGTTTGACACTGTCACACACAGTAGGTGCTTCCTGCCTTTTGGCAGGCAGGGAGAGGAAGCTGTTGTGTCTCCTTGATTGTCCTGGGGTTGTGTGGGAAGTGCTAATGTTTGATGTCAGGTGTTCTGTGGCGATGTGTTGTAGCACAAGGGGCTGCTCACAGGGAGCCTGCAGGGTGTTGGGTCAGCTTTGATCACCCATTTGTCCTCTCAGGGTATGAGCATCCCTGCCCAACCTCACGCTTCCACCCGGGCTGGTTCCGAGAGGCGCTCAGAGCAGCGCAGGCTCCTCTCCTCCTTCACGGGCAGCTGCGACAGCGACCTGCTCAAGTTCAACCAGCTCAAGGTAGATCCCCCCTGCTGCAGATTCTGGACCCACAGACGTCCTTTCCTGTTCTGTGCTGTGGCTAATTCAGGGTTGGGGTTTTGGGGTGTTTTCTTCATGCAGTTTCGGAAGAAAAAACTAAAATTCTGCAAGAGCCACATTCACGACTGGGGCCTTTTTGCTATGGAGCCCATTGCAGCTGATGAGATGGTGATCGAGTACGTGGGTCAGAACATCAGGCAGGTAAGCTGTGGGTGAAATCTGGGCAAAACCCAGCCCTGGAAGAAGCCCTTGAGTATGACAGTGAGGGTTGGAGTCCTGGTTGGAGGTGTCAGCTCTGTGGGCTGGGCAGGTTGGCACGGTTTGGAGGTACCAGGGTGGGAATTCCAACAATCCATGGAAACTGAGCACTCAGGAGAACCCTTAAAGAACCCATCCTGAGCTTCCATGTTTCCAGTTGGGTGTGATGGGGATCCTATAAAACCCCATTGCCTGGCGTGAGCAGAGCTCAGGGGAGCCTTGTGGAGGGGAGGTGGCTGCTCACAGGTCAGTTGTGCCTGAGCCTGCTGGGCTTTCTGCAGGTCATTGCTGACATGCGTGAGAAGCGATACGAGGACGAGGGCATTGGCAGCTGTGAGCAGAGCTCAGGGAGCCTTGTGGAGGAGGTGGCTGCTCACAGGTCACTTGTGCCTGAGCCTGCTGGGCTTTCCGCAGGTCATTGCTGACATGCGTGAGAAGCGATACGAGGACGAGGGCATTGGAAGAAAACCAAGCAAGTTTCGCACTTCTGCCAGGATCATGAGTGAAAGCAAAAAGCGCACACGCTTACGAGGACTGTTCATGTTTCAGGTGCTTTTTCCTTTTCAGATCCAACACGCACACAAAAAGGTGGCTACCTTTTGTGGCATGGTCTATCCAAACACTAGCTTCTCTGTTGAGTCCCTGAAGTAATGCTCCATAATGGGATAATGGTACCTTTTTTTTTTAAATTGTTCTTCAAAGCCTTCATCGTTTCATAAATGCTGCTACCTTTTTCTCATCAGTTTTCGTTGGTTGAAAAAGACATTCAACGTTTAAATGTGAAGCAGAGACTGAAAATGCCATATAGGGTTTGTTGGGAGCTTGATTGGCTGAAATTGCACAGATTTCTCAGAGTAAGCTGTAAATAAATGTAAGGTTGATGTTACAGAGCAAGCCAGAGGCTTGAGGGTGTGTGAATGAGTGCGTGCCTGGGGGGTGTGTGTGTGTGTGTGGAAATGTGTCCAGTGAGACTAGAGCTGAACTGTCCTGCCTTTTCCTTAGGGATGAGCCTGAGCAAGGCCCCTCAGCCAGACCCCAGGGCACAGTCAGGTCAGCCAGACTCAGCTCCCCTCCTTGGGCTCCCCTCTCATTTTCTATGCCATGCTGGTCCATGGGGGATCAAAACCTCTGCAGCTGCACGTGAGAAACCCTTGGATACTTCAGTCACTAGGAGGAAGGAGTCAGCTGGGCAGCTGTAGCATCGTGTGGCCTTTGGGGTTCCCATTCCTGGGAATGGGCTTGTCTTGCTTGCAGGAGAGGCTGAGATTAAGTGCACAGCTCAGCCCCTGCTGGCGCTGTAGAAATCCTGCCCTGCTTGCAAGCAAAGACTACGGCCCACGTTTGTAGCAGGGCTTTCTTCCTGTGGATGGGAAACAGGCTCATGAGTGACTTGTATTCATTTTTTCTCACTTTCATCTGCATTTCCCTGCCCTTCCAGTGTTTTATGTGGAGTATTTGCTCTGTCCTTGGATGTGGGAGATGCCTCCTGTGATAGGAGCAAGCTGTGCCCTGCTGCTCTCCTCCCTCTGTTACTCAGTAACTTGGCCAGGGGTGGTCCCGTCCCTCCAGAAAATCATGGTAGAAGTGTCCCTGAAAGCAATCCTATCCCCCCCATCTATAGCATGGAAATTAATTGCTTCTCTAAATTTGGAAGGCATGTTTTAAAATGATTTCTCAATATATTTTATCCTTGTAGATGTGCTGAGGTGAAGGTTGCAGTTCTTCAAGAGGTTCCATTTAAAAATGGGACCAAACACCAAAAAAATGTTCTTTGGATGAGATCTGGAAATGTTACACCACCATTCAGGTATAGACAGGATCAGTTTTTCAATTAGCATTGAATTTCTCCTGCTTGAAAAGCAGAGATTAGTTGTACTAAACCCTTTTTAATTGGCTTGTAAGGGGAAGTTGCAATGTCATTCTGAAATGGGAAGATTATCTGCATAACTAAACACCTTCTCCCCACAGAACAAATTGCACAGCTCTATTCCTGTATTCTTTCCAAACCTCCACAGAGGTGACAACCTTGCAAAAGAAGTTCCTGGAAGTTTTTTCAGCTGTTCCCTGGAATTGCCAGGCCTGCACTGCAGCGTGGAGCCTGTACTGTAGGTTAGACCTCTGCCTCTGAATTTCTCCTCCAGACAAAAGGCCTGAGGGAGCAGGAGCACAGACTGCTGCAAGCTGCCTTAATACCACCTGTGTTTCTGTCTGAGGGCAAGCAAATTGTCTCTGAGATTGGACAGTCCAGGGTCCATCTCTGCTTTTTTTTTCAGTTCAGTTCTGTTTCTCCTCCTTCTTCCTAAATTTCTCCAGCAACTGGGTGTTGGTGACCCAGAACCCAAAATCATGAGAAGCACAAATTTCTGTCACTGGATGTTGGCTGGAGCTGCAGTGATGGCATTTGGGAGTTAAACCAGCTGCTCAGTTTAGTTATTTTTTGAGATTCAGTGTGTTGGCACTCAAGTTGGCATCTCCACAGCCTGGCCTTTGACTTGCAAGGCTTTGGAAATGCACAGAAGTTTCCTGTGTGTCAGAACTGAAGCCCCTGTCCTTGGCCTTGTCCCTCTGCTCCATCAAACCAGTGCATTAATGGTGGAATTGTGGGGGGGAGGACACCCCAGCTGGCCCAGCCCTGTGCTCTGGATGGGATCAGCCCCTGCAGTTTGCCTTAATCCTTGGTGAGGAAGGTGGGGAGGAAGGTCACTGTCACCTTCAGCTCCTTCACCCTGTGTTTTGGGAGCACCAAAGGGATTTGGGTGCCAAAGACCGTGAGCACCTAAATCACTTGGGTACTTCTGAAACTGCCTGTAATTCATCCCCTTTTAGGATCCCAGACAAATAATGTGAGTTTTTAGAAGAGCTGATCTCTCAGTACTTCCCCAGGAAGAAACAGAGCTGTTGTAGCTGCAGCACTTTGAAAAATCATGTTAGTCTGGTCTCAAAGCCAAACCTGAGACTTCTCTTTTCCCCCCCATAAATCTTGGCTTGCAGAGTCCTTCCTGGGAGATATTTTGTCTTGGACTGGGAAGCTGCCTGACCTCCAAACAAATCACTTTATGGTGAGGACTGCCAGGCCTGCTGCAGTGATTCCACGGGTGCCCTGTCCCTGCCAGGGGAGCCCTGCAGCCACAGCTGGGGCTGGAGCTGCCTCAGATCCTTTGCCTTGTGCTTGGCAAGGCTGGGTGAGGGGAGGGCAGGAGCTGTGTGGGTCACATTCAGCACAGGCTCCCTGGGGAAGCAGTGACAGGGATAAGAGGAACCTCACGAGCTGCTGACAGGGACTGCAGTGCTTTTGGCCACTGAAAATCCCACCCCCAAATTTATTGTCAATTCAGTTTGAGCCTAAGACAAAAAAAAAGAGACAGACATTTACAGTGTTCCCTGCAAAATTCCATCTCCCTGGGAGGAACGACCCAAGAGAACAGAGCAAAATGATGGAAATAGAATTTAAGCCTTTGGTTTGCAGCTGTGGGAGTTCAGGGGGCAGGTGTGGATCCACAGGATCCCTGGGGTTCACACCTTCCAGGGTGGGGCTGGAGGGCTTGGGGCTCATCCTGCAGTTATTTATATTGTACAGAGCAGCTTATTTCTACAAGGAAAGACAAAGCAACCATCATCTTAAAACTCCAACAAATACAGTAGTTTCAGTTCTGGTTTTTGTGACCTTTTTCAGGGATCATTTCAGTGCATTTCTGTACAAAATAAAAATTTAAGGAAAAAAAAGGATTTTGAAGTATAAAAAAATGCATTTTCTGTACATAGGCGAACTCAAGAATCTTCTCTTCAAACACTGTTTCTTGTAGAAACATGTTGAAATTTTTTTGCTGATTTCTTTGTACTTCAAGAGCATGTAAATAGTTTATTAAAAGTGACTATTGTAATTTGGAGTTCTTTTTAAACAGATTCCAGCTCTAAATCATGTCAAGATGGGGAGGAAGAAGGACTGAGTATAGCAAAGGAGCTGGTGGCATTTACAGCTTGTGTCAAGCTTTGTATAATGTAAATTCTGTATAAATACGGGGTTTTTTTGTCAAATAAATAGATGCAATTAGAAGCATTAAGAAACTGAAGACAAAAAATTGCCAAGTCAAGGCTTCTTTTTCCCCCCCTCCCTCAGTCTGAAACCTAATGTGCAAAATCTATTTATTTCAAGCGAGGAAATGTGTACAGTCTAATAGACACCCTAAAATGTATTTAAGCAAATTAGCAACTGGATTTTTTCAGTTTAATATTTGTTTTGTTTTTATGAGTTTCCTCAATTGCCACTGTAGGATTTGTCCAAGTGAAAGCACATCAAGAAGGACACTGTAAAACAATGGGGCAGTTTTGAAGCAAAGTGGAAGAACACCCAGCTCCCAATTCTTGCAGTTTTCTGGTTTTAATTCCCAGCGTGGAAATCAAGGGCCTCCTTTAAAAGTAGGCAGATCAAATTGTTTGCAATAAATTTAATTTTTTTTTTCCTAAGTTCCTTAAAAAAAACCAACTCTGCTTTGAAGATTTAGGATTTCTGCTTTTTCTTTGGTTAAGCAAATTTATAAATTTAGGGATGTTTTGTGCATATAGAATCTGTCACCAGTATGTATCTTGTTTTGAAGAAAGTGTTTTTGTTGTGGATGTGTCATGCTGTATATATTTGTTCATATTTTTGTGAATTGAATACTATGTACCATTGTATTATAGTAACTTTTATAAAGCAAACCATAAATATACTGACTTTTCTTACAGAAAAATTATGTTGTGCTTAATATATTACCAGGGCAGCTCTTGGCTCTTAGACCTGTGCTGGGAGCTGTGAGAGCTCAAGGAGGCAGATGCAGAACAAGAACAGTGTGAAGAACTGATTTGCAGCAAAGTTTACTGAAAATATTAATTCTGGTGAGCAGGAAATGAATTTAAGCAACATTGTATTGCATGAAAAAAATCTGTGAGTGATTCTAGTCTACAAACTTCAAGAAATGTCTCAGTATTTACAATCTTGACAGCCCTGGAGAGCTGAAGCAGAGCTCTCCTGACAGTGAACCAGGAGTCCCAAACATGTCCAACCTCAGGGTGAGAGGTCCCTGCTCCTCCTCTTCCCCTGGATTGCTCTGATTTCATATTCTTTGTTTATTTATTGATTTTTAATTTTATGGAGGCAAAAGCCCTTCACCACCAGGTGGGGGGTCAGTGATGTGTGAGGCTGTTGTGGCCAGAGGCTCTTTGCTTTCTTTCTTCTTAAATCAGTTTATTCAAATTGCCAGGAGTTGGATTTGGATGATTCTTGTGGGTCCCTTCCAGGATATTCTGTGCTTGTTTGAAATCTGGATTAGTTCTGCTCCCTGGACCCAGAGAAGGGGCAGCTGCTCAGGGGGAGCTGCTCAGGTTTGGTCCCTGTACCCCCCACAAGGGGGGCTGCTGCTGGGGGGTCATGGTGGCCTCTCTGAGCTTTTATTCAAAAAGAAATTCCTGGAGCAGAGACAAGTGGAATGGCTGATGGAGGAGGAGGTGGAAGAGACAGGACAGGGCTGCAGGACAGCCACAGCTGGGGGCTCAGCCAGGAGGGGCTGGGCTGGGGCTGGGGACAGGACTCGGTCACAGGAGCCTGTCCTGAGCTCAGGGCTCAGCAGCTCAGGGTCTGGGAGCTCCCATGCTGGGAAAAAGGGAACAGGGGG